GAGGGGGTGGTGGGGAACAAGGGTGCTCCCGTGAAGTGGGAGGCGTTGGTGTCGGCGACGGTGAAGGGCAAGGGGAGGAGGAGGGCGGCGGGGGCAGAGGGCAGTGACGGAGAGGTCGGGCCGAGAGTGGTCTTGAGGTGAGGAAGGGAAAGGATTCGGTCTTGCTTCTTGGTTCGAGCGAGAAGTGGGAAAAGTCAAGTCAAGGGACGACGGCTGTGTCCAGAAAAAATTGCGATGGATGAGTGTTGCAAGTGTTGGAGGTGTGGGGTTGGTGTTTCTACATAACCCCCCCCCTCGACTTTCGACTAGCGTTTGACGAGGTTGTTCTGTTTTGTTTTTCCAGTATTCTCCGAGCCTTGTGCGGCCATCAAAACGCGCTTTGTCCAGAATGTCCCCGGGCTCTCTGTCGCCGTGCTTGCTTCCCTTTACCTCCCCTCACCCACAAACCACGATTTATCGACATGGCCTCTTTGCAAAGTACACGTATTGTAAATGCGTTTTGGCCACACTCCCGCTGCTGGGAATCCTCCCACTTGCTCTCTCTCTTCCTGCCTTCGTTATGTATTTTCCCTTGACCCACCCCCTCGCGCGCGCACACCCTGCCCCACGTTTTTGCGAAGATGCGAGCGAGAGGTTTGCTGTGTAACCTGGCACGGAAAGGGTGACTACCTCGCCTCCGTTTCTAGGGGAGAGGACCGTCGAGCAGTCATGATTCACCAGGTCTCCAAGGCCTCGACGCAATGCCCCTTCAGAAAAACCAAGGTAGGTGGGGGGGTGGGGCAAGAGAGGAAGATGGGCACGAGAGAGGAAAATAAATGTGGCACGGCAAACATGTACCTGTTTAATCGGGGGAATTGTGGTTATAGAAGCGACGTTTTTGGGGCTCTCTGATGGTACGTACCAAGAGAGGAAATAATTTGGCGGGAAAGAGGGAGGGAGAGAGAGAGAGAGAGAGAGCAAACCAGAGAGAGAGTAATACACAGAGAGAGAGAGAGAAAGACAGAGACAGAGAGGTGGGAAAGCAAGAAAAAATACCTGTGCAGGCAAGTTCAATGCGGCTTGTGCTTGGAAGGAACGCCATGGCCCACCACAAGCGATATCCCCATCCCCGATCTTTCATAGCGAAGCTCTTGTGTGCCTCTTGTGTATCTTGTCTTCATCCCTCAATCCCTGGCTTTATTGCCCCCCTCTCTCTGTGCCGCGCATTTTCTACCTCGTGCTCTCCGCTTGTCCGTACGTTCTCCGTTATCTTTTGACCAATCACCGAACGATCGCTTGAATCGATCGCTACACTACCCTTACCCTACATACAGGGAGAAGTGCAGTGCGTTAAGTTCCACGTGTCGAAGCCCTTCCTCTTCGTGGCGACCAAGCAGCAAGTCAGGATCTACCACCTCATCAAACAGGTACGTAGTACTTGCATGTTTTGAATGTATTCTTCGTTCGGTGGTGGTTGTGTAAATCCTGCTTGTGTGCGCGTTTTCTCTCCCTCCCGCTCTTTTTGCCCCTCTGGCCCTTAATTCGTTCCGTTCGGTGTTTTTGCCCTGTCTTCTCCATGCCATACTTTGACGGTGGTGCGGGCTGTGTGCCCCATCTACCATCTACCCGCCTTGCGGTGGTGGCACGAGCTCGTCTGACGTGTGCGTGTTGAACTGCATGCATGCCTGGAAGCAGCGGTGTTGTTGCTGTCGCTAGAAAGAGGTTGGGTGTATAAGAAACCGAGCGGGACATGATTACCCGAAAATTTGCACAACTTTGTCTCACGAGCCATAGCTTTGCTTCGCTAGGGTAAGGTGAGAGGTACCGGTAAGGATGTTCATGAGCAACAACAGATTTTGGAGGTCTGAAAGTCGAGGTCGGTGGTGCTGATGCAAACTTGGCGAGATATAAAAGCATCAATCGTCAACAAGCACGGAGTAGTAAATTATGGCCCCATATGCAAGGCCGTATGGTAAGGCCGGTCGCCCTTTTTACGGCCCGTGAAATCGCGTGACACAGATAGATAGATACAATGTCAATGGTGTCGGACGCCCTTAATAGTGTCGGGTGCTCGGTATTAAGGCCGGCCATGTCCCTTGGCACAACCATGCGGCCTTACACAGGGGAGCATTGCTGTACCAACACCCTCGGCATTTTTTGTTCGTGTGGCCGTCGCTGTGACAAAATCAGATGCTGGTGAAGAAGCTCATCAGCGGGTGCAAGTGGATAAGCTGCATCGACGTCCACCCTTCCGGCGACCACCTGATCGTGGGAAGCTACGACAGGAGGGTGGCGTGGTTCGACCTGGACCTTGCCAGCACTCCTTACAAGACTCTCAAGTACCACACCAAGGTATGCATGCATAGGTGCAAGCCTACGCCGGAGTGTTTGGTCTCGGGGGAGCAGCGAGGAAAACAGTCCTGGTAATGTCTTGCTTGTTTGTTTTTTTTGCTATGCAAGTATAACACAACGGATCCTTGTCCATCCATCGAAAAGCGTCCAAGATATATTGTTTAGGATAAATGAATAATAGCGTTACCGGAGGCCCTACCTGTGTCTCTACGGTTCCAAGGTGCTTGTTTGTACTTGGTAGCATATCCCACAGATTAATCCAGTTCCTCCACGGAACACTGCCAACTGCAGGCCCCCCCCCAAGTCACTTGGAAGTCTGTAACCCCGTTGGCGCTTCTCTCTCGACAAGAAATAACCTCTCGAGAGGACGTACAGGACAGGAAAACTGGAGAGGGATCCAGATGCCTATTTAGCACATGTTCGTCGTAGGTTCCCGCGGCCAGCCCGGTCTGTATATTCTTGGACAAGGGAGGCATGGAGAGTAGTTTGGTTCGATTCGCTCGTTTGTGTTGCCAACGTGATAGGCTTGCTTCTCTCACTACTATACACGAGCACAAAGTACAACATTACGCCCATTCCCACTAAGCTACCTCATCTTATTCGAGACGTCTCGGCGTCCACTTGAAACTGCCAAATGCGGTGGCGAAACGAAAATCTACAGGCGGTACGGGCAGCGCAGTTCCACCGGCACTACCCGCTAATGGCCTCGGCCAGCGACGACGGCAGCGTCCACGTCTTCCACGCCACTGTCTACTCGGACCTTCTCAGGAATCCCCTTGTGGTACCGCTCAAGATTCTCAGGGGGCACGAGGTGAAACTACATATGTTTGCAACTTTTGTCAATGGATGGTTCAATGGGAGATGGATCAGGGGAGCACGGCGTTAGGTAAATATGCGAGAGTGCTGTACCTGTTCTGGGTGTGTGTCGCATTGGGTGCGAGTTGAGGGCGTTGCCGAATCGATTTACTGGAGTGTTGGTACCAAGCGGAGACCGGAACGGTTTTTTGACGTACAACAACAGCAACTACTACTACTACTCTTACAGATGAACGTGGTATGCGCTATTTTCACGTGTGGCATGAGGGGATTTGTCACGACGCAGTTCGTTTTCTTTAGTCGATGCTGTATTGCTGCTGTGCGATTCATCGCGCGAGTTAACGCCATGTCAGCGGGTAGACGAGGCCACGAAGGCTGGCGTTCAAGGGACCAGACAAACCGAACATACCGGTACTGGGCCAAGAGTTTCTCCCTACCCTGTCTCTTACCCTCTAGGGGCATGAACATGAAGGAATAGTCTATACCCGCGAGCCTGGATGCAGGCGATCTATTGAATTTTCCGGTACCTCTCTCTCAAAGCTTGGCGGCTTTCGGTAGTCCACGGTAGAATGTCAGGAGACTCCACACCACACAACGCACAGGGACCTGCTGTCATGTCATCGCAGGGACTGGGTTACGTCTTGAGTAGAGTAGTCCAGCTAGACGTATGTCGGCACAAGCTTTATGCAACGCGTGCTCGCGGTTGTGCGTTTTCTTTTACAATTTGGTGACGATTCACAATCAATCCGTCGTTAGTTCCTCCGTCCTCCCTGCTCCCCCGTTCTGTTTTTTTTTTCAATTCGATGACGGTTCACGAGTAGGGCGTCGTTTGTCCCTCCCTCCCTACCCCCCCGCTGTCCAACGCCGCTTGCATCCAGGTAACGGGCGGCCTCGGGGTTATGGCTCTGGTGTTCCACCCTCGTCAACCTTGGGTCTTCACCGCCGGCGCAGATGGCGCCGTCCGCCTCTTCCAAGACGTCTGATGCCACACACCGCGAACACGCCGCCAGTGCCTGCAAGTAGTTTGTTTCTACTTGGGCGTGGTCATTTGCCCGAAGAGGTCTTCCAAGAGATATCTATCTATTAGTATGCCTCCCTGAAGCCCCGAGGATGCTGTTGCAACTATTTCTCCGTCGGGTCAGCTCGCTTGCCCGAGAAAAGCAGAACGACCACGTCATATCGCAAGTCTCATATGGGTGGTGTGAAGTGCTGAAGCTGACGCTGTTACCCGTTGCGAATAAACTCGGGCCTGTTGCCCGCGGCGAGACGGCTGGCGGATCCGCTCCGCGCTGGTACGTAGTTGGTGCTGTTTCGGGTGAACTTGCGTGGTTTCCCATTTGCTGACTGGTTTGACGATGGGGGGGGGCTTCGTAGATTGGAGGGCATTGGGATGGGGGGGGTTGAGAACTGTAGTCGTCACGAGCCCCCTGCGCATGCGTCCGTCCGATTCCTGTAGTGTACCGCGGGACGGACAGACTCCTTGCTTGTCTATTCACGGTCCCGTTGAGGCAGCCTTCAGATGGCACACAACATAAGCCGTTGCTTTTCGTTTGGGGCAGCCTTACATGGTAGCATATCGATTGGATGAACATCGAGTAGTGGCATGCTGAAAATTTCGCCCTCCCTGGGCGGTGTCCGGCATGACTGTTGCTTCGTTGGACGGCTTTCCTCTGCGCTGGGAGTATTTTTTTTTCTTTGCTGAGTCTCCGAGCGAGTGTTTCCCGACCTGGTTCAGGTGTTTTGATGACGCTGTATGTCCGAACCCGGGAGAGGGAACACGTCTGGAGGCCCTCGTGTGGGCTAATTCTCCCCTTCGTTTTCTCTGCTTTGACTTGCGTACTATTGTAGTCTTTCTACATGGCAGCGGTGGCGTGGTCGGTCGGTGCAAGTCCCTTGAACGTCGATTCCTCTTGGTTCTCAGAGTGTTCCCCCGTTTGATTGTTGATGAAGATGGGTTACAAACATACGTGTCCAGAAGACGGTTGAGATGCGCGTTGCTGGGAGAGTGCAGCAGCAGAGGGGAGACGATGTTTTGTGGAATCATGGGACATTTATCGGTGTTCTCAACCGCGTGTTGTGTGAGGACTCGACGTGCGAGTCAGACCTACACCCCACAGGTCTGCGTATACACTCCATTTTTGTCTTCATGCAAGTATCTATTCTAGTTTGGAACGCAAGTTTGCTGTGTACAGATGCTGCTCGTTGCAATCGATGATGACGACAAATGTACGGCCCGACCATTTTCACCAACAAAGGGTGTCCCTCCTCTACCCGTGAACCGACCTCTTCTGAGAGATCCCCACAAGGCCGGCATTGTTTGGCTTTCCACCATAGAAAATTCAGCTAACAAACACCAAAATAGGCGACCCATTTGGGCGCCTCGTTGCAACCTCCGACGTCTGCCGCTAGGCCAAACAGAGCCTAACGTCGCAGGCGCAAGCCAAGCCCACCGCTCCTCCCACGCACGCCCCTTGGAATCCCGCGATCACTAGCTGCGGGCACCGCTCCACTGCCGTGGAAGACTCCTGCTCTCCGGGTACGAATGTCGGTTCGACGAGCGGCCGAGGGGAGATGCAAAAGTGGGATTGGGTGGGGTACGACACATGTATTCGTGTTCTTGCTGCGTTGGATGAGGCAGGGTGTGGCGACTAAAGAATATTCGTTGCTTGCCTCAGGCATGAGTGTGGCCACTGGCCATCGCGTGGGCCACCTGTCCCTCCCTTTTCAAGAAGGAGCACAGCACATGCTTGCCCTAAATGCGTTCACCTTGGCATTTGAAATAAAGCAGTAAGGCGGGGGGGAGGGGCCGCAACATTATGACGTGGCGCACCATCCGTGAAATAGAGAGCCAAGCGCAAAGGCACAACTATGTCAGTGAGCGTATTCGGCTCGGCAGGTGCACGCAGAGCGAGGTACCACATTTTCTTGTCCACGGACGGCCGGTATCTAGTAACTTTTCGGGCGCCAGAACCCAGTTGCCCATACAGTCGCATGCGTCGATGCGGTACATGTGTACATCCACCACGCGCGCGCACCCTGAAGAAGGTCAAGGTTCGGGTGGTCAATGAACGCTACGGCTATCCGAATACGAATACAACTTATTCTTCCTCCTTCTCCTCCTCCGATGGCGAACCCTCTGGCTACAAGACAATCTCTTCGATGCCCCCCCTTCAGCCCTCCCCGATTTCAACTCTCGCATATGGTAACGGAGTCTGGTGTCCAATGTCCTCAGTCGTGTTTCTGTCTTGACTCACCGTAAGCTAGTCGCGCCCCCCCTCAACCTCCTCCTTCTCCCTGCCCCTCCTCCCCCTCCTCCTCCTCCTCCTCCTCCTTCCGTTCCCTCCTTGTCCTCCTCTCCCTCCTTCCTCCTTGTTCTCCTCCTCCTTCCTCCTCCTGCTGTTGGTCCTCCTCCTCCTTCCCTCTTCTCCTCTTTGTCCCCCTGGGCCCTTTTTCCTCCTCGCCCTCTCTCTCTCCGACAGACTCCTGCTGCGGCGCCTGACATGGCAAGCTCGTTCCAGCCGCATGGTCCATACCCTGCTCGACCCCCACAGGCTCACCATCTGCTAGGGCCGGCGGAGTCGAAGCGTGCCGAGCAGGAGTACCTAGCTCACCCACCACAGCATCGTCACAATCACTCACAACCTTTCCAGCAGGAGCGGCAGCAGATGAAGCGCCGGCAGCCCCGTCCCCTGTCCCCGCCGGTAGCTCCACCGATGTCGGCGTCAACATTGTCGGTCCCGCTCCCGCCGAAACCGGAGCTACGAAAACACCCCTGGTGGCGGGAGAGGAACAGGCAGCTATTGCAAAGTTGCCGAAGCTCTCCATATCCCAAGCCCTCGCCGGCGGCCCAGAGGCTGTCGTCCCGAATGAGAACGTTGGAAAAGCACCAACACCGTCGCTGCAGCTACCGCCACCAACACCCACGCGTTCGGCAGTGGCAGCAGCGGGAGCAACAGAGGCGGTAGTAGCAGAGGCGACGGAAAGAGAAGCCGTAGAGGCGGCAGCCCCGTCCTCGTCGCCATCGCCATTACTACTCCCACCACTTACATGCCCGGCAGTAGCTGCAGCAGCAGCAGCAGCAGCAGCAGCAGCAGCAGCAGCAGCAGCAGCGGCGGCGGAGGTAGCGGTCTCAGTAGAAGCGGCAGTGGCGGCAGCCCCATCCCCATCCCTTTTCCCCGCCGGGAGCTCTGACGATGACGGTGCCAACATTTTCGGTCCCGCTCCCGCCGGAGCCGGAGCCGGGGCTCCAAATGCACCGGAAGTAGTGGGAGAGGTTGTTGTTGCTTTTCCGGAGCTGCTGATTCTGCCGGAGCCCCATACACTGGATGGCGGCCTAGATGGCGGCCTACCGGCTGTTCCAAACGAGAACGACGGAACAACTCCAGCACCAACACCATCGCCACCACTACTCCCACCACTCACATACCCGGCAGCAGCTGCAGCAGCAGCAGCAGCAGCTGCAGCAGCAGCAGCAGCAGCAGCACCGGCGGCGGAGGTAGCGGTCGTAGTAAAAACGGCAGCAGCGGCAGCCCCATCCCTTTTCCCCGCCGGGAGCTCTGACGATGACGGCGCCGACAATTTCGATTCCGCTACCGACGGAGCCGGAGCCGGAGCTCCTGAAGCACCGGCAGTGGTGGGAGAGCTTGTTGTTGCTGTTCCGGAGCTGCTGATTTTGCCCGAGCCCCATACACTGGATGGAGGTCTAGATGGCGGCGTACCGGTTGTTCCAAACGAGAACGACGGAACAACTCCAGCACCGACACCATTGCCACCACTACTCCCACCACTCACATGCCCGGCAGTAGCTGTATCAGCAACAGTAGCAGCAGTGGCGGTGGTAGCGGTCGTAGTAAAAGCGGCAGTAGCGACAGCCCCGTCCCCTGTCCCCGCCGGGAGTTGTGACGCTGACGACGGCAACTTCTTCCGTTCCGCTGCCGCTACCGCTCCTGCTGCCGCTTCCACCGGAGATCCAGGAGTACCGGCAGTGGTGGGAGAGCTTGTTGTTGCTTTTCCGGACCTGCTGATTTTGCCCGAGCCCCATACACTGGATGGCGGCCTAGATGGCGGCGTACCGGCTGTTCCAAACGAGAATGACGGAAGAGCACCAGCACCAACACCATCGCCACCACTTCTCCCACCACTCACATGCCCGGCAGTAGCTGTAGCACCAGCACCAGCACCGGAGGAGGGAGCGGCAGCAGATGAAGCACCGGCGGCCCCGTCCCCTGTCCCCGCCGGTAGCTCCACCGATGTCAGCGTCAACATTTTCGGTCCGGCTCCCGCCGGAGCTCCACAAAGGCCCCCAGCGGCGGGAGAGGCGCCGGCAGCTATTGCAAAGTTGCTGAAGCTGCCCGAGTCCCATGCGCTCGCTCGACTCTTGGGCGGGGAGAGATCAGGAGGTCCGGCGCCGTCGACGGTCGAGCTCGGCGCATCGGGTACGCGGAGTTTGGCCAACAGGCCAGGATACTGCCACAGCAACATACGCCCGAGAAATTCGTTCATCAGTAAATTTTTAAGTGGGCGCGGCAGTTTTACGGCAAAGAGAAGGCACGGGTGCGTAGAAGACTGAACCGGCGTCAGTCACTCGCAACTCCGCAACCTTAACGTCGTCTCACGGCTACCGTTGGATGCATCAATCAATGTCTTGGGCTTCACCCCCAACCGACAGTCAGCTAACGGCTCACCACCGGTCTGTTACTGCCGAGGTACTGGACAGAAAGTCGACACGATTTACACACCATTCGCTCTCAACCCGCATGCCCTATTGTTAGGTCTTCGGTTCTGTGGCGGTTCGTCTGCCGTACAGCCGCACACAGCATCCGAGCAGCGCACCACAAAGCAGGGGCTCCAAGCTGCGTCTGCTCCGCAAGATGCCACGCGAGCCTTGCTGCTTACCTTTTTCTTGAGCTTGGTTCGGAGAACTGCCTCGACAGCTTTCTTCACGGTCATGTCCCCGACGTGCCCCCTCAGGCAGAAGGCGTCGAGCCACAGATCGACGCCATGCTTCGAAACTGCCCGCGACAGATCGGCAATGATCGGTGGCTTGGAGTCCTTCTCAACTCCACGTTGCCAGCGATTCTTGTGTAGCTGCTTCACGTACATCTGCGGATTGAGGGGCACGCTGACGTGAGCATCAGCCCACCGCCGCGCCGCTTGACCGATGGCCTTGCACTTCCATGAGCAAACAACGAGCAGCGAGGGGAGGATCTAGTCAGCAAGTAGAGAGGCAAAGCCTAGCCTGGGTTGTCTTCGCCAAAACACAAGCCCTCTAACTTTTGAAGCTGTCGTTGTTCCTTTGCGTGGGGGTGGCAAAGGCGGCTAAAGAAAGGCGACACGCGAGGACGCTCGAACAACAAAAACTCTCGGAACGAACGGCTGGGCAAGGCAAGACCCCAACTCCCACATGGAAACATGACTACCGTACAGAGGTTCCTGTCGAAGGCCGCTGTCGTCCAAGCGAAAAACACAGGCCTTACATCGAGCACCTGGCACTATTCAGAGTATGAGAAAGCTTGAATGTTCCATCTGCGCCAAGCGATTTTCACCGCCCTCGACAGGTCAACCGGCCTTAAGTAAGCAGCCTTACACAGGGACTTCTACGGTACAATGCAACACTACGACAAGTGGTTGTTCATCTACATACGTGGGCGGTGCCAGCACCACAGACGCCGAACTACCGTCGACTTACCACCCTGTCCACTGTGCCCTCGGCCGGCTCTTCGCCGGGCGCTACCACTAGCAAGCGCCACGATTCCCGCACGGGAATGACCTCGATATCCCCGGCGACACCTCCTCCCGCTCGAGCGAAAGCTTCAAGGTTGGCAGGCGTTGCCACGTTGCGCATGACAGCCGCGTCGATCATGTCTACCTGCCAGCAGGATAGGCCAACCGGAGAAACAGACGGTGTTTGGTTGTGCCCAGCAACGGTGAGTGGGGGGGTGGGGGGGTGGGAGTTTCGTGCCACTCCGTTTGGACGGCCGGTTTCTTGCGATGTGCCTAAACACACCGGCGCACAGTTTGTACATGCGGTGGCTACCGTAAATGACACAAGATAACACACCCCGGTGATAACATTTTTGGGTTTAAAAATATTGTCACCGGGTGTGGTATCCTGTGGGGGGTGTGGTACCTTATGTACTCCGGGTGACAAAGTGCAGCTCACAGGGGCTCCTAAGGGGATGTGATAGACCATGGGGTGTGACAGCACGTCCGAACACCCACAGGGTGTGTTTGGGGGTGTAATAATGAGGAGGTATTCACCAACACCAGATGAGAGGCTTTGGTGGTGCGTGTTGACTCGTCTACGGTACTCGTACGTACTGCTGAGAGCGAGTCAGCAACTGGCTGCTGGTGAGGCGAGGTGGTGGCTGTCATGTTGGCGCCTGCTGCTGTGCCAGCTGCTGCTGTTGTTAGATCAACTGCAGCAGGAGGAAGCCGTAGCAGGAGCCGCTTGCGTAGAAGAAGTTTGCTCGGGTGAAAGAACGAGGTGGTCTGTTGCGCCTGTGCTGCTACAGTCGAAGCAGTTGTGGAAGAAGCAGAGGCACTTGCGGCGGCAGTCTGTTTTTCTTCCTGCACGTTCGTCCGGTTGGAGGTCTCCATGCGGGTCGTTTCCCGCACACAAAAAAGGGTGCGTGTTGTGTATGATGCCCAGGGGCAGATGCTGTCACCCCGGTGATAAAAGGAGGGGTCCCGTGAATACATGCAACGTATCCTTAATATATCACCGGGATGTGTATCTTGTGTATCCCCGGTGATAATCGATGGTTTGTCAGAAACGCCCAAAAATATCACCGGGGTGTCGTATTCTGTGGGGGGTGTGCTGTCTTATGTAGGTGTGTTATCTTGTGTCATTTACGGTATGTGCGGCGGAGGAAGCGGGACAAACGCATGCCACTCGCGCTTCTGATAATCCTCCGGCCCTCGCGAATCCTCGACAGTTAGTTGCACAGCCCGTTCTGCTCCCGAAACAGCCGTTCTACAGCATGATACCCCCCCCCGCCGTCCCGTTCGGTACAAGCACTCCTGGACATGAGCCAGCCCTGAAAGCTTGCCATTGCGGGGGTTAACGCTTTCCTACGCAGATCAGATACAGTACGGCTCACCAGCTGGACGGATCGCGGGAGCGCCTCAACTAGAGAGGCCGCGATGATGTGTAGGCGCGTAACACGGATGGTTCCTCTCTGCTGGTATAGCTCCACCTTTCAGCACCGAATAATGTAAACGGGAGCAACACAAGCGGCAACTGATCGGTGTGACTTCGAAACAGTTTGCCTAAACCACCAAAAAAACTGGTGAGTACATGTGATGAAGTTGTAACAGCGTTATCACGGGAGAGCGGAGGCTTGGTCTGTCTGACCATGCACTACTGTACGATGTAGCGGCTGTTTTGACACGCCTAGTTGGATACCAGCTCGACAAATACCTCGCGTTGGAGATGGTACCGACACGTCCGCGTGCACCAGATAAAACGACATTGCATAGCGCAGCAACCAAATGACCACCACAAAAGACGTAGCAGGGCAGGGATTCGTCGACAAAACCACCTCTGCAGTGGCACCGTTTGCGGCGCACTTTCGTACGGCTCACCTTTGCCCGTCGCCTTTCTAGCGTGCGGATCCATCCGGTGCTCGCGAGCTGTTCCAGGTTACGTTGTCCGAGCCGCAGAGATATCTTTTCCTGGACTGCATTCTTGTCTGGCCCGACAACCAGGCGATCCAGGGCGGCCTGGACATTGTCGTGGAGCCCCCACAGCTGCGCCACCTTAACCCTGTCACTGGCCGCCTCCACACTAGGAGGAGCAAAGCTTTGAGGGAGGCCGTCATGTCGGTGCCGCGCCCCGCTGAGGCCGATATCGGCACCATCGCCTGATGATGGCGGCGGTGGCGGCGGTGGCTGGGCCTTGAGACAATTCACCTTGACGTTAGCAGCCACGATGCCGTAGACGGCAGACAGCTCCCTCAGCCACTTGTCCGATGGATGCGGCACACCGGCCGAGAGCACCAGGCGCGACGTCCCGCTCTCTGCGGGGTGCGTGGGGATCCTCGCTTGCATCAGCGAAAAGCTAGCCGGCTGAACGGGCACAACGACAAGTTGGCGCACGTGAGTGCAGGGGTGTAGCGGAGAGGCCTGTTACTGTTGCGTTAGTGGTCTTGCTTTCAGGGCTCCGAAGAGGCTTGCTTACCGGCGAAATGATTACAGTGCTCTTTTACGATTCCATGTTCTAGGCCGTTTGTTCAGCTATCGGAAGCTCCCATCAGCTCGAGAAATAGCTTCACAGCGATGTGTTTGGAGCCATGATAGCTGCACTCTCGATTTGCCTGGCTCTCATTAACTGTGAGGTCTGCTAAAGTCCTGTCCCGACAGTTTCGATCGATCCCACCTGCCACGGCCCTTCCCGGCAGACTCGGATGCCATGCTCCAGGTAATCCACTGTTGTGTTGATGGCGCGGTCACCGTGCCCCCACCAACACTTCACGACGCTCTCGGCCTCATCGACGACGATATCGACTTCTCCGAACACGTTCTGGAAGAACTCCACAAATCGAGAGACCTTGTCCTGCGAGCAGAGTAGGCCCATCGCAAAGAAATTCGTGAGACTCTGCTGCAGGATGGAAGGCTTGGAACGATGGGTTCAACCGCCGTCTTCAAAGGTATTGGGCGGGGGAAGAAAAGAGTAGTCTAGAGCGGCGATCCATACTGACGGGGAAAAATGTGCTTCACTATATAGTGCAACCCTTCTTGCCGCGGATGGTTTGATGGGTGTAGCAGCTCCCGACACGCCAGCTTCAAGTTGGTAAGACTACATGTCGAAGCCTTCACTACCGAACCCCAGTTACAGGACTGCGAGCACGTTTGGACGCGCTACGCCGTTGCTCGTAACGTGCCTGCCGTGTAAGCATCAACCCACCCATATGACTCATACGACCCTGTTGGAGCTTCGCTCGGCCGAGACTGCTGTTGGAGGTCGTGCCTAATCCATGGAAGGGCAGGGTGCAAGACTGACCGCACTCACCAGGTCTTCCGCCTGGAACCGAACGAGGAGGCATTGCTTCTTGGTTTTGGTGTTGGCGTCGGCGACAGCGGCGCCGATGGCGGGCGTCGCGGCGGTGGGCGCCACACCAACGGCGGGAGCAGCAGCAGCAGGAGCAGCAGCAGGAGCAGCAGTAGTAGCAGCAGCAGCAGCAGCAGGAGCAGCAGGAGCAGCAGCAAGAGCAGCAGCAGCAGCAGCAGCAGCAGCAGCAGCAGAAGCAGAAGCAGCAGCAGCAGCAGCAGCCGTTGGCTCGATCGCCTTCGGTGTTGCCGCCGTCGCCGTCGCCGCCGCCGCCGCATCAACAGCCGCTGCCGTCGGTGGCGGGCTACTCGACGAGTTCGTTCCCGTCCCTTCCCGCGGGAGCTGCTGTCCAGGCCCTCGAGCTGCTGCTGCTGCTGCTGCCGCATCCCCCTCTCCTCCTACCGCCAATGCTACATTTCCCTCTCCTCGTGCCTCTGGTGCCGCCGCCGCTGCTGCTGCGGATATCGCTTCTCCACCCGCAGTGGCGGGAGAGTTTGTTTCGTCTGTTCCAGAGCTGCTGATTTTGCCCGAGCCCCAAACACTGGATGACGGCCTAGATGGCGGCCTAACGGTTGTTCCAAACGAGAATGACGGAATACCACCAGCACCAACATCATCACCACCACTTCTCCCACCACTCACATGACCGGCAGTAGCTGTAGCAGCACCAGCAGCACCAGCAGCGGCGGAGGCGGGAGCGGTAGCAGATGAAGCACCGGCAGCCCCGTCCCCTGTCCCCGCCGGTAGCTCCACCGATGTCGGCGTCAACATTTTCGGTCCCGCTCCCGCCGGAACCGGGGCTCCGAAAATGCCCCTAGTGGCGGGAGAAGTGCCGGCAGCTACTGCAAAGTTGCCGAAGGTCTCCATGTCCCATGCCCTCGCCGGCGGCCCAGAGGCTGTCGTCCCGAACGAGAACGCCGGAAAAGCACCAACACCGTCGCCGCAGCTACCGCCACCAACACCCACGTGTCCAGTAGTACCAGCCGTCTGCCTTGCTCTAGCCGGGGACGCTGCCGACGACTGCGCCGACGTCTTCGACCCGGCTGCCGCCCCAGCCGGAGCTCCGGTGGTGTTGCGAGAGGGAAAGCTTGCTGTTCCGGAGCTGCTGAAGCTGCCCGAGTCCCATTCGCTCGGTCGACTTTTGGGAGGGGCGAGATCAGGAGGTCCGGCGCCGTCGACGGTCGAGCTCGGCGCATCGGGTATGCGGCGTTTGGCCAGAAGGCCAGGATACTGCCACAGCAACATTCGCCCGGAAAATTCGTTCATCAGTAAAGTTCAAGTGGGCGCAAGAGTTTACGCACGGTAAAGAGAAGGCACGGGTGAGCAGAAGACCGGGCCGGCGTCAGTCACTCGCAACTCCGCAACCTTAACGTTGTCTCACGGCTACCGTTGGATGCATCAATCAATGTCTTGGGCTTCACCCCCAACCGACAGTCAGCTAACGGCTCACCACCGGTCTGTTACTGCCGAGGTACTGGACAGAAAGTCGGCAGGATTTACACATCATTCGCTCTCAACCCGCATGCCCTACTATTAGGTCTTTCAGTCTGTGGCGGTTCGTCTGCCGTACAGCCGCACACAGCATCCGAGCAGCGCACCACAAAGCAGGGGCTCCAAGCTGCGTCTGCTTCGCAAGATGCCACGCGAGCCTTGCTGCTTACCTTTTTCTTGAGCTCGGTTTCGAGCACTGCCTCGACAGCCTTCTTGACAGCGATCTCCCCGACGTGCCCCCTCAGGCAGAAGGCGTCGAGCCACAGATCGACGCCATGCTTCGAGACTGCACGCAACAGATCGGCCATGATCGATGGCTTGGCCTCCTTCTCAACTCCACGTTGCCCGCGACCCTTTTTCAGCTGCTTGCCGTACATCAGCAGCTGCTGTTCGTACGTCGGCGACTCGAGGGGCATGCTGATGTGAACCGCAGCCAACCGTCGCGCCGCTTGACCGATGGCCTTGCACTTCCATGAGAAAACAACGAGCAGCGAGGGGGGGGTCTGGTAAGCAACTAGAAAGGCAAAGCCTAGTATAGTCTGGGTTTCATACCGGCATACCATGCCGTAACACTCTGCCCGCCTGCTGTAGCGACAACTTATCGGCAGCTACCGCCAGTCTTGGCCAAAACACAAGCCGTCTAGCGACAACTTTTGCAGCTATCGTTGTTCCGTTGCGTGGGCGTGGCAAAGGCGGATAAAGAAAGGCGAAACGCGAGGACGCTTGAACAACAAACACTCTTGGAACGAACGGCTGGGCAAGGCAAGACCCCAACTCCCATATGGGAGCACGACTGCCGTACAGAGGTTCCTGTTCAAGGCTGCTGTTGTCCAAGGTAAAAAACACAGGCCGTACATCGGGCACCTGGCACTAATCAGAGTATGAGAAAGCTTGAATATTCCATCTGTTCCACGCGAGTTTCACCGCCCTTCGACAGGGCAACCGGGCTTCAGCAAGCGGCCTTAAACAGGGACCTCTACTGTTCATTGATACAATACAAGTGGTTGTTCATCTACATACGTGGGCGATGCCAACACCACAGACGCCGAACTACCGCCAACTCACCACCCTGCCCACCGTGCCCTCCGCCGCCCCTTCGCCGGGCGCTACCACTAGAAAGCACCACGATTCCCTCACGGGAATGACCTCGATATCCCCGGCGACACCTCCTCCCGCTCGAGCGAAAGCTTTAAGTTTGGCACGCGTTGCCAAGTTGCGCATGACAGCCGCGTCGATCATGTCCACCTGCCAACAGGATAGGCCAGCCGGAGAGACAGACGGTGTTTGGTTGTGCCCAGCAACGGTGAGTGGGGGGGGGGGGGAGGGGCGTACTCTTATGTTTTGCATGCCTTAGCGGTTAGACCATTGACCACGCGTCCTCGAGAGGACGGAGCATTGTTCCTACAGGACTGATGACCGATGGCCAATCGTTCCTTCCTACTTTGCCAAAGGTGGCTCAAAAATGTCGTCCCTAGTCTATCTATCCTACCGATATCACTTCCCGCCTTTTCAACCCACTCCCTATGCCCCAGTACAGCTAGCGTCTTCTCCTGGCTATCCCATGCCTCGAACATCTCCCTGTGCTTTTCTTCTACTTTTCCCAGCTCAGTCATGTACACTTCCCTCTCCTTCTTTTACAGTCGACATTCCGCGACTACAGGAACACGGTCTTCGCACTCGGAGCCCCAATCACATTTGAACTTGGCGTCTTCATGGTCTACCTTCCTATATCCTTGGCTACGTTCTCGAAGGCCAATGTCCCCGGTCCTGAATTTGATCTTCAGCTTTGTCCCTGCATCCATTGGTCCATGTAGGTACTCCTTGAACCCTATTCCTTCTTTCAACATTCCGTACACTTCTATGCCTTCTTTATCCTTGTTTTCCCCCTTAGATTCTGTTCTCTCTCCGCAAAGCAACATATATATTCTCCTTGAACCCTTTTAGACCCTCCGTATCCAGTGTATCGCCTTCGTCAAGTTCGAACCCCTTCCATACGTCACCTACAACCTTGACCCACTCCGTGGGTTGTCTACCCCTCTTCTTGTTTACCCACTCCACCTCCCAAGCTATTCCCGGTAACCTCTCCTTTCCCATACCGCACATGCGATACTGCCATGTCAGCTTCCTTGCGTCTCTTCCCGATCGTAGGGGTCGGATCCCCAGTTCTGCCCTGACGGCTGCATTTCGTGTGCACTTGGAGCATCCTAGGATGACTCTCGCTGCTTTCATCTGCGCCGCCTCGAGCTCTTGACTACCTTCTTATTTCCTTCCCATACTTCTCCGGCGTACTCTAGCGGCGGTACGATAACACTTTTCAAAACGGTCAATTTGATGCGTGTATCGAGGTACCGGTTTGCGAATATTGGGTGCAGCTTCCCTGCTCGTGCTTCGCACTTTTCCGCTACCTTGGACATGTGTGCACTTCACTCAGTCTTTTGCGATCTCTACCCAGAGGTATGTTTACTGGTCCACTACTGCAAGCTCCTCGACCCCCCACTTCCATTTACGTTCTACTGGTTCCTCCTTGTCCTCGTTGCATACCATGACCGCACTCTTCTTAACGTTGGCAGACAATCTCCACTTATCAGCAAACTCCTTCGTCGCGTCAAGTTGCCTTTGCAGTCCCTCAGGGGTGCCAGACACCCCAACAAAGTCATCCACAGACAGCAACGGTGAGTGTGTGTGTGGGGGGGGGGAGTTCGTGCCATTCCGTTTGACGGCCGGTTTCTTGCGCTGTGCCTAAACATACCGGCGGACAGTTTTTTGTACATGCGGTAGCTATGTGTGGCGTTTCAACGCATGCTACGCGCGCTTCTGAGCATCCCCCGGCCACGCTACACCCTTGCAAATCCTCGACAGTTCGTTGCACGACCTGTTCCACTCCTGAGACAGCCATTTTACAGCATGATGACCCCCCCCCGTCCCGTTCGTTACAAGCACTTTGCCCCCCTGGACATGAGCCAGCGCTGAAAGCTTGCCGTTGCGGGGGTTAGCGCTGCCCTACGCAGATCAGATACAGTACGGCTCACCAGCTGGACGGATCGTGGAAGCCGCTCCACTAGAGAGGCCGCGATGATGTGCAGGCGCGTAACACGGATGGTTCCGCTCTGCAGGTATAGCTCCACCTTTCAGGAACGAATAATGTGAACGGGAGCAACGCAAGCAGCAACTGATCGGTGCCATGCCAAAATAGATCGCCCCAAACGACCAAAACAAAACTGACAAGTACATGTGATGAAGTGGTAACAGCGATGTCACGGAAGAGCGGAGGCTTGGTGTGTCTAACCATGCACTATTGAGCGGGACACGCCTCGTTGGCTACCAACTCAACAAATACCACGCGTCGCGATGGTGATGGCGCAGACAAGTCCGCGTGCACCGGAAAAAACGACATTGCATAGCGCAGCAACTAAACGACCACCATAAAAAACATAGTTGGGGCCGGCGTGCAACGACACGGAAACCAAAGAGAACGACGCCCCGCGTGTCACGTACCCAAACGATTCCGCTAGTCGCCTTCGGCAAGTAATACTAGGACAGCGAGGTGTATCGGTAGAAGAAGACGACGACGGGGGGCGGCAGGGGATCGTCGACAAAACCACGAGGTACTGCTGTAGCACCGTTTTCGGCGCACTTTCGTACGGCTCACCTTTGCCCCTCGCCGCTCCACCTCGCGGACCCATCCGGTGCTCGCGAGCTGTTCCAGGTTACGTTGTCCGAGCCGCAGAGAAATATGTTCCCGGTATGCATTCTTGTCTGGCCCGACAACCAGACGATCCTCTGGCCCGGCAACCAGGCGATCCAGGGCGGCCTGGACACTGTCGTGGAGCCCCCACAGCTGCGCCACCTTAACCCTGTCACTGGCCGCCTCCACACTAGGAGGAGCAAAGCTTTGAGGGAGGCCGTCATCTTGGTTCTGCACTCCGTTGAGGCCGATATCGGCACCATCGCCTGATGATGGCGGCGGTGGCGGCGGTGGCTGGGCCTTCAGCCAATTCGCCTGGACGGTAGCAGCCACGATGCCGTAGACGGCAGACAGCTCCGTCAGCCGCTTGTCCGATGGATGCGGCACACCAGCCGAGAGCACCAGGCGCGACGTTCCGCTCTCTGCGGGGTGCGTGGGGATCCTCGCTTGCATCAGCGAAAAGCTAGCCGGCTGAACGGGCACAACGACAAGTTGGCGCACGTGAGTGCAGGGGGGAAATAGAGGTGTAGCGGAGAGGCCTGTTACTGTTGCACCATTGGCCTTGCTTTCAGGGCTCCGAAGAGGCTTGCTTACCGGCGAAATGATTACAGTGCTCTTTTACGATTCCATGTTCTAGGCCGTTTGTTCAGCTATCGGAAGCTCCCATCAGCTCGAGAAATAGCTTCACGGCGATGTGTTTGGAGCCATGATAGCTGCACTCTCGATGCGCCTGGCTCTCATTAACCGTGAGGTCTGCTAAAGTCCTGTCCCGACAGTTTCGATCGATCCCACCTGCCACGGCCCTTCCCGGCAGACTCGGATGCCATGCTCCAGGTAATTCGCTATTCTGTAAATGGCGTGATAACGCTGCCGCCCCCACCAACACTTCACGACGCTCTCGGCCTCATCGACGACGATGTCGACTTCTCCGAACACGTTCTGGAAGAACTCCACAAATCGAGAGACCTTGTCCTGCGAGCAGAGTAGGCCCATCGCAAAGAAATTCGTGAGACTCTGCTGCAGGATGAAAGGCTTGGAACGATGGGTTCAACCGCCGTCTTCAAATGTATTGGGCGGGGGAAGAAAAGAGTAGTCTAGAGCGGCGATCCATACTGACGGGGAAAAATGTGCTTCACTATATAGTGCAACCCTCCTTGCCGCGGATGGTTTGATGGGTGTAGCAGCTCCCGACACGCCAGCTTCAAGTTGGTAAGACTACATGTCGAAGCCTTCACTACCGAACCCCAGTTACAGGACTGCGAGCACGTTTGGACGCGCTACGCCGTTGCTCGTAACGTGCCTGCCGTGTAAGCATCAACCCACCCATATGACTCATACTACCCTGTTGGAGCTTCGCTCGGCCGAGACTGCTGTTGGAGGTCGTGTCCATGCAAGGACAGGGTGCAAGACTGACCGCACTCACCAGGTCTTCCCCCTGGAACCGAACGAGGAGGCATTGCGTCTTGGTGATGGCGTCGGCGGCAGCGGCAGCGATGGCGGGCGTCGCGGCGGTGGGCGCCACACCAACGGCAGCAGCAGCAGCAGGAGCAGCAGGAGCAGCAGCAGCAGCAGCAGCAGCAGCAGCAGCAGAAGCAGAAGCAGCAGCAGCAGCCGTCGGCTCGATCGCCTTCGGTGTTGCCGCCGTCGCCGTCGCCGCCGCCGCCGCATCAACAGCCGCTGCCGTCGGTGGCGAGCTACTCGACGAGTTCGTTCCCGTCCCTTCCCGCGGGAGCTGCTGTCCAGGCCCTCGAGCTGCTGCTGCTGCTGCTGCTGCCGCATCTCCCTCTCCTCCTACCGCCAATGCTACATTTCCCTCTCCTCGTGCCTCTGGTGCCGCCACCGCTGCTGCTGCGGATATCGCTTCTCCACCCGCAGTGGCGGGAGAGTTTGTTTCGTCTGTTCCAGAGCTGCTGATTTCGCCCGAGCCCCAAACACTGAATGACGGCCTAGATGGCGGCCTACCGGTTGTTCCAAACGAGAATGACGGAATACCACCAGCACCAACATCATCACCACCACTTCTCCCACCACTCACATGACCGGCAGTAGCTGTAGCAGCACCAGCAGCACCAGCAGCGGCGGAGGCGGGAGCGGTAGCAGATGAAGCACCGGCAGCCCCGTCCCCTGTCCCCGCCGGTAGCTCCACCGATGTCGGCATCAACATTTTCGGTCCCGCTCCCGCCGGAACCGGGGCTCCGAAAATGCCCCTAGTGGCGGGAGAGGCGCCGGCAGCTACTGCAAAGTTGCCGAAGGTCTCCATGTCCCATGCCCTCGCCGGCGGCCCAGAGGCTGTCGTCCCGAACGAGAACGCCGGAAAAGCACCAACACCGTCGCCGCAGCTACCGCCACCAACACCCACGTGTCCGGCAGTACCAGCCGCCTGCCTTGCTCTAGCCGGGGACGCTGCCGACGACTGCCCCGACGTTTTCGATCCGGCTGCCGCCCCAGCCGGAGCTCCGGTGGTGTTGCGAGAGGGAAAGCTTGCTGTTCCGGAGCTACTGAAGCTGCCCGAGTCCCATGCGTTTGCTCGACTCTTGGGAGGGGCGAGATCAGGAGGTCCGGCGCCGTCGACGGTCGAGCTCGGCGCATCGGGTACGCGGCGTTTGGCCAGAAGGCCAGGATACTGCCACAGCAACATACGCCCGGGAAATTCGTTCATCAGTAAAGTTCAAGTGGGCGCAAGAGTTTACGCACGGTAAAGAGAAGGCACGGGTGAGCAGAAGACTGGACCGGCGTCAGTCACTCGCAACTCCGCAACCTTAACGTTGTTTCACGGCTACCGTTGGATGCATTAATGTCTTGGGTTTCACCCCCAACCGACAGTCAGCTAACGACTCACCACCGGTCTGTTACTGCCGAGGTACTGGACAGAAAGTCGGCAGGATTTACACATCATTCGCTCTCAACCCGCATGCCCTACTATTAGGTCTTTCATTCTGTGGCGGTTCGTCTGCCGTACAGCCGCACACAGCATCCGAGCAGCGCACCACAAAGCAGGGGCTCCAAGCTGCGTCTGCTTCGCAAGATGCCACGCGAGCCTTGCTGCTTACGTTTTTCTTGAGCTTGGTTCGGAGAACTGCCTCGACAGCCTTCTTGACAGCGATCTCCCCGACGTGCCCCCTCAGGCAGAAGGCGTCAAGCCACAGATCGACGCCATGCTTCGAGACTGCCCGCGACAGATCGGCAATGATCGGTGGCTTGGAGTCCTTCTCAACTCCACGTTGCCAGCGACTTTTGTGTAGCTGCTTCACGTACATCTGCGGATTGAGGGGCACGCTGACGTGAGCATCAGCCCACCGCCGCGCCGCTTGACCGATGGCCTTGCACTTCCATGAGAAAACAACGAGCAGCGAGGGGAGGATCTAGTCAGCAAGTAGAGAGGCAAAGCCTAGCCTGGGTTGCTTACCGGCATACCATGCCGTAACACTCTGCCCGCCTGCTGTAGCGACAACTTATCGGCAGCTACCGCCAGTCTTCGCCAAAACACAAGCAGTCTAGCGATGACTTTTGCAGCTGTCGTTGTTCCGTTGCGTGGGCGTGGTAAACGCGGCTAAAGAAAGACGAAAAGCGAGGACGCTTGAACAACAAACACTCTTGGAACGAACGGCTGGGCAAGGCAAGACCCCAACTCCCACATGGAAACATGACTACCGTACAGAGGTTCCTGTTCAAGGCCGCTGTCGTCCAAGGTAAAAAACACAGGCCTTGCATCGAGCGCCTGGCACTAATCAGAGTATTAGAAAGCTTGAATATTCCATCTATGCCAAGCTATTTTCACCGCCCTTCGACAGGGCAACCGGCCTTAAGTAAGCAGCCTTAAACAGGGACCTCTACGGTACAATGCTACACTACGGCAAGTGGTTGTTCATCTACATACGAGGCGATGCCAGCACCACAGACGCCGAACTACCGCCAATTCACCACCCTGCCCACCGTGCCCTCCACCCTCTCTTCGCCGGGCGCTACCACTAGCAAGCGCCACGATTCCCGCACGGGAATGACCTCGATATCCCCGGCGACACCCCCTCCCGCTCGAGCGAAAGCTTCAAGGTTGGCACGCGCTGCCACGTTGCGCATGACAGCCGCGTCGACCATGTCCACCTGCCAACAGGATAGGCCAGCCGGAGAGACAGACGGTGTTTGGTTGTGCCCAGCAACGGTGAGTGTGTGTGGGGGGTGGATGGGAGTTTCGTGCCACTCCGTTTGGACGGCCGGTTTCTTGCGATGTGCCTAAACATACCGGCGGACAGTAGTTTGTACATGCGGTGGCTATGTGCGGCGGAGAAAGCAAACACATGCTACTCGCGCTTCTGATAGTCCTCCGGCCCGCTATGCCCTCGCAAATCCTCGACAGTTGGTTGCATAGCCCGTTCTGCTCCCGAAACAGCCGTTTTACAGCATGATACCCCCCCCCCCCGTCCCGTAGTTGTGTAGACCATGTATATACGTTGAGTAAAATTATCCAAGGTAGGAAAGACGCCGGGCGTACGACATACTGTTTCTTCCTAGATGTACAAAAAGCCTACGACACCGTGTGGCGCAATGGATTGTGGAAAAAGATGTGGGACATCGGGATCCGGGGGAAAATGTGGAGGATGTTGAAAAAGATGACAGAATGCACAAGAAGTGCGGTGATGTTGGATGGGGAAATTTCGAAGTACGTGGATATACTCCAAGGAGTCGCACAGGGCTGTACGATGTCACCCACTCGTTTTAACATTTACATCAACGATTTGATAAGGGCGGTTGAAGCAGTAAGATAGGGAGTCCAAGTAGGGGGAAAGAGTGTGTCCGGACTGATGTTTGCAGATGATTTCGTGGGGGTATCCGAAACACCAGAAGGGTTGTAAGAACAAATAGATGCGGCGGTAGGATACACCCGAAAATGGAGACTGTCGGCGAACGTTGGAAAATGCGCAGTAGTGGTCTGTAACGAAGACAAGAAAAATCCCGTAGAATTCAAATGGAAATGGGGGGAGGAAGAGCTACCGGTAGTAGACAAGTATACGTACCTTGGAGTAGAGATTTCGAAGGAGTGCTCATGGGACGCACACATAGCAAAGTTGATTGGGAAGGGTAAAGCTCAGATAGGCAAGATGGACGAGATCCTTACGGACCCACACCTAAACACTAGGATTAAGAGGTGTATTCTCTTGAATGTGATTGTACCTAAGTTAGAGTATGCAGGAGAGGTATGGGAAGGTAACGAAAAGGCCGTCAAGCAGCTGGAAACGGTGCAGATGGCAGCGGCGAAGAAAATACTAGGATGTTCAAGTACAACGAGCAACACTGTATTGAGAGCAGAATTGGGAATGTACTCTCTTAAAACAAAGAGAGACATGCAGAAGTTGAATTGGCAGTACAAGGTAAGTAGAATGTCGGACGATAGACTACCAGCCATGGTTGACAAGGCAGCTTGGGGAAAAGCGACTCCAGGGAAGAAGGGAATCAGATGGGACAAGGTGGTAGAGAAGGTTTGGAAGGAGATAGGAGACAAGGAGGAGACATTGGACACGGAAGGGTTCGGGGGGTTCAAGACGAAAGTCAAGGAGATGCTAGACAGTAGGGAGGAGGCAACCCTTCGGAAGAAGGTACGAAGCGAAGACCACTTGGAGATATACGGGAAGTTGAAAGAAGGGATAGGGATGAAGACGAACTTGGACGGCCCCATGGACTACGCGAAAAAGCTGAAATTGCAATTTCGAGTAGGCGATCTGGACTTGCCAGAATGGAGGAAGAGGTATACCAGCCGTAGGAGAGAGGAAGAGGAGGATGGACACACATGCCCCATGTGGCAAATCGGAGGAGAGTAGACCCCACATAGTTGGGGAGTGTGAGTTGTACAGGAAGGAAAGAGAGGATCTCGAGGAGGAAATGAGACAGAGAGGGTGTGACATGGACAAGTTTGGTAAATTAGACAACAGCGAAAAAACGATCCCGATAATTGGGGATAGATGGTGGGCACAAGAGGCCCTAGAGGACGGGGATAAGATGTGCAAGAAATTTTTATGTAGTTTGTGGCAGAAACGTAAAGAGCTCCCAAATGCTGGTGGTGTCTCTAGTAGGGGTAGGAACGGCGCTCCGTCTCGAAAGGGACGCGTGGTCAATGGTCAAATGACTAAGGCAAGCCACAAATGAGTACGCCCTCCCGTCCCGTTCGGTACAAGCAATCCTGGACATGACCCAGCCCTGAAAGCTTGCCGTTGCGGGGGTTACGCTTTCCTACGCAGATCAGATACAGTACGGCTCACCAGCTGGACGGATCGGGGGAGCGCCTCAACTAGAGAGGCCGCGATGATGTGTAGGCGCGTAACACGGATGGTTCCTCTCTGCTGGTATAGCTCCACCTTTCAGCACCGAATAATGTAAACGGGAGCAACACAAGCGGCAACTGATCGGTGTGACTTCCAAACAGCTTGCCCAAACCACCAAAAAAACTGACAAGTACATGTGATGAAGCGGTAACAGCGTTATCACGGGAGAGCGGAGGCTTGGTCTGTCTGACCATGCACTACTGTACAATGTAGCGGCTGTTTTGACACGCCTAGTTGGATACCAGCTCGACAAATACCTCGCGTTGGAAATGGTACCGACACGTCCGCGTGCACCAGATAAAACGACATTGCATAGCGCAGCAACCAAATGACCACCACAAAAGACGTAGCAGGGCAGGGATTCGTCGACAAAACCACCTCTGCAGTGGCACCGTTTGCGGCGCACTTTCGTACGGCTCACCTTTGCCCGTCGCCTTTCTAGCGTGCGGATCCATCCGGTGCTCGCGAGCTGTTCCAGGTTACGTTGTCCGAGCCGCAGAGATATCTTTTCCTGGTCTGCATTCTTGTCTGGCCCGACAACCAGGCGATCCAGGGCGGCCTGGACATTGTCGTGGAGCCCCCACAGCTGCGCCACCTTAACCCTGTCACTGGCCGCCTCCACACTAGGAGGAGCAAAGCTTTGAGGGAGGCCGTCATGTCGGTGCCGCGCCCCGCTGAGGCCGATATCGGCACCATCGCCTGATGATGGCGGCGGTGGCGGCGGTGGCTGGGCCTTGAGACAATTCACCTTGACGTTAGCAGCCACGATGCCGTAGACGGCAGACAGCTCCCTCAGCCGCTTGTCCGATGGATGCGGCACACCGGCCGAGAGCACCAGGCGCGACGTCCCGCTCTCTGCGGGGCGCGTGGGGATCCTCACTTGCATCAGCGAAAAGCTAGCCGGCTGAACGGGCACAACGACAAGTTGGCGCACGTGAGTGCAGGGGGGAAATAGAGGTGTAGCGGAGAGGCCTGTTACTGTTGCGTTAGTGGTCTTGCTTACTGGGCTCCGAAGAGGCTTGCTTACCGGCGAAATGATTACAGTGCTCTTTAACGATTCCATGTTCTAGGCCGTTTGTTCAGCTATCGGAAGCTCCCATCAGCTCGAGAAATAGCTTCACAGCGATGTGTTTGGAGCCATGATAGCTGCACTCTCGATGCGCCTGGCTCTCATTAACTGTGAGGTCTGCTAAAGTCCTGTCCCGACAATGTCGATCGATCCCACCTGCCACGGCCCTTCCCGGCAGACTCGGATGCCATGCTCCAGGTAATCCACTGTTGTGTTGATGGCGCGGTCACCGTGCCCCCACCAACACTTCACGACGCTCTCGGCCTCATCGACGACGATATCGACTTCTCCGAACACGTTCTGGAAGAACTCCACAAATCGAGAGACCTTGTCCTGCGAGCAGAGTAGGCCCATCCCCAAGAAATTCGTGAAACTCTGCTGCAGGATGGAAGGCTTGGAACGATGGGTTCAACCGCCGTCTTCAAATGTATTGGGCGGGGGAAGAAAAGAGTAGTCTAGAGCGGCGATCCATACTGACGGGGAAAAATGTGCTTCACTATATAGTGCAACCCTTCTTGCCGCGGATGGTTTGATGGGTGTAGCAGCTCCCGACACGCCAGCTTCAAGTTGGTAAGACTACATGTCGAAGCCTTCACTACCGAACCCCAGTTACAGGACTGCGAGCACGTTTGGACGCGCTACGCCGTTGCTCGTAACGTGCCTGCCGTGTAAGCATCAACCCACCCATATGACTCATACGACCCTGTTGGAGCTTCGCTCGGCCGAGACTGCTGTTGGAGGTCGTGTCTAATCCATGGAAGGGCAGGGTATAAGACCTACTGCACTCACCAGGTCTTCCCACTGGAACCTAACGCGGACGCACTGCTTCTTGGTTTTGGTGTTGGCGTCGGCGGCAGCGGCACCGATGGCGGGCGTCGCGGCGGTGGGCGCCACACCAACGGCAGCAGCAGCAGCAGGAGCAGCAGGAGCAGCAGGAGCAGCAGCAGCAGCAGCAGCAGAAGCAGCAGCAGCAGCAGCAGCAGCCGTCGGCTCGATCGCCTTCGGTGTTGCCTCCGCCGCCGCATCAACAGCCGCTGCCGTCGGTGGCGGGCTACTCGACGAGTTCGTTCCCGTCCCTTCTCGTGGGAGCTGCTGCCCAGGCCCTCGAGCTGCTGCTGCTGCTGCATCTCCCTCTCCTCCGGCCGCCAATGCTGCATCTCCATCTCCTCGTGCCTCTGTTGCCGCTGCTGCTGCTGCGCACATCGATTCTCCACCGGAAGTGGACGCGGCGGGCAGGGCAAATGATAACGAAGAAGAAGCACGGCGAGACGCCCCCGTGGCCGCAGGCATCGGCAGGTGAGCTCTGGGGTTTCCTTCCGCAGCGGAGACAGCGGACGAAGAGAAGGAAGCGTGGTCAGCAGCAGCCGCTAGCCGCGCCTCCTTTTTTTCCCTCTTTGGCTTTCTACGCTTACCCCCGCCCCCTGCCGCCGCATCACCCAGCGGCGTTGCAGGACCTCTCGGCGCTTGCTGAGACGATCGAAGAGGACGAGCCGGAGGAAGAGGAGGAAGAGGAGGAGCGGCCACCGCTACAGCGTTGTGGAACTTGCTTGCCGCCGATTGTTGCTCGTCTCCATTGCTCACCACCTCGTGTGCGGGCCTTGGCTCCACTGCATCCTCCATAGACGGCGACAGTTTCGGAATTTCCACCAGTTGGGGGTACGTGTTCGTAGAACTGGCGCCATCCTCTTTCCTAAGTGGCACCTGGTGGGCGGCGACACACGCGAAAGCACGCATCGTGTCCGCGAGGGGTGGAGCAAGGGGGGTGGAGGGCAGGGGGCGGGCGCCGGGGGGGCTGGGTTCGCTCAGGCGCCGTGAGCGGAAACAGTGGATAGGTTCGTTCAAGCTTCATGGCGCGATGTGCTTGTGTGGTAAGCGCTCGCGTGGGTGTAACGTTCGGCTTGAAGACGCATGAGGTCTACAAACGGGTGCACAGCGTTCACGTCTTTCTGCGTACGCTGTGGCCACGCTACAAACTGCGGCCCGTCCAAACCAACCATCAGCGATAAAACATTGGACGCCAATCGTAGGTCATCGAGGCAGCGACTTGCAAGGCAGATACAACTCACAGCTCGTCGCACAAAGGGATTACTCTGCGTGGTGTATTGGTAACCTCGCCCTCGGTCCGTGCAGCAGTACAGGTCCACTCTACAAGGCAGCAACATCGACGCCCACATTCTCCACAAAAACATTTTCAAACGAATATCGAACGGGTAGTCGTTCTTTGACTGAATAATCTCTAAAAAAAATCACTCCAAACGCACCGCGAGTAGGGCCTGTTTGTCCTCAGGGCCGGTGTGCTGGCGCTTGCGCTTGCCGGCCGCGGATCCCCCGAGAGCTCCCTCATCATGGCTGTTTCCGTGTCTTCCGGGAGGGTCATCGCTACGCATACCACCGCTGCTTGCTGCCGGGGATGCCGAGCCTTTCCCGCCCCCTGCCGCCCCGGCCGCCGCCTCCACCCCCGTCGCTGCCTCCGCCCCGGCCGCTGCATCCGCCCCCGCCTCCTCACCCCCGGGTTCCGGCACCATGTTACGGGAAATGGTCAGCGCGTCTGACTCCTCAACCAAGGCGGACGAGTTCTGCTGCACCACTCCGTGGTTTCTGTTCTGGTCGTCCCACGGAATCAGCCCTGGCGGTAAAACAACCGGGTACTCTCCTAGTCCACAGAGGTCACCCTTGTTGTGGGTGATGAAACCTAGAGGAGCGTCAATGGAAATGCACGGAGAGAGGGCGTGGAGACATTGGAAGAGAGAGGTGCAGTTGTACCACGCGCACCACACACAGAATACGCTGCTGCAATTCGTATGTACCAGGCGCGACCTAGGGATCGCCCCTATTGCGAGAGGTCGACCAGAATAACTAACCATGATATTTTCTCGAAGGGGTAGTATTTCAGTGCTTGTGTGCATATATATTCTACCGGTAAGTAAAGCTCTAAGAGTACCCGAGAGGTTCCCGCGGCATGGTCTAGCCTCTCGTGAATTGACTCATGAGATTGGTTTGCCCCGTACAGTTAAAGTAGTCAAACCTAGGGAGCAACACCTGTGTCTGCAAGCGTCCATACCCCTCCGTACTCACTCGGTTGCACGCCATGCCACCTAGAGCATGTGCAAGTGCCGGGATCCCCGAAGGCATCAACCACGCCGTGTTCTCAACTGCAGTATAAGGGGCACGCACGCCGTATCTTGGATGGTGGTACTGTAGAGATCTACGCAATCTACGCATGATATATTTTTGAACCTGCAGTCATGTATTGTTTGCTACGTGCCAAACGGCACGGCAAGTCTGTCTCACACACCGAAAACGTAGAACATGTGCTAGGGTGACGAGGTCCTCGAGCTTCGTTATTCGACTTGGTGCTCTCTGTTGGCGCAAGAAGACCAGTTCGGCGACAAACGAGTGACAAACTCAATCCATCCGCAGCAGCCGTGATGCCTTGCAGCTCGAATGGCTATCAAACTATCAAACCGTCTCACAATTCCGTACTCAAAGGTTTACTCACATGTACTACTACCAGCGGCCAGAGGAGCCTGATGAGATGATAGGGAAGCCAGCGCGTGCTGCAGCCGGCGGCACTGGACAAGCTGGATGTAGCAGTATGGATCATAAGGGAGCCGCAGGGGGGGGGGGGGGTATGTATGCATACCACGGTGCCACCAACGGCGGTTGTGTTTGTGTTGTAGTGAATGATGAATTTATTAATACTTGTGCCCTAAGAACCCTAGACTAAAACCATGAAGCAGTTGGGTTGAGTTCCCCCACAGAGAAGACAAGAAGAACGAGCCTCTCGGCCAAAGCGCACACATTGTCCACCTAAGATCTAAATTACGAATTACTCAAATAATGTGTTCCGATTTTGGCGTCGGACCCATTCCTTGCCGTGGTCCGATGGGCACCGCATCTCAGCAACAGCAGCAGCAGCAGCAGCACCAGTCAGTATGCAGTCAGTAGCACTGGCAGTCTCATGCACGCTGCCTGGAATGGCCCGTCTAGCCTCATCCATTGTTATCGTAATTTCGTTCAAAACAGATATGCTGTGCTCACGACAGTCATGATTGATGTAGACGGGCTACTATTTTTGTGTAGTGATGATCATCGTGCTCTTTGTACAACAAAGCCTCTCTATCAGTCACTGCTGAGAGAAGGTATATTTGCACACAGCATCAATGAACCGTATGCATGCGTGGGATAGATAAATTACAGAGTAGATCTATTATCTGTCGGTGAACGTTGGTGAACGGAACATTTATTTCGTTTTCAAATTCGGGCCGCTCAAAGGTAAGGGCTAAGGTACTGCTGTACTTCTGAGACGTCGGGCGGTGGTGGTGCGGAAAAGGCTTACTTTACTGCAAGCATAATTACTCCCCCAGCCGTTTACCCGCGCTTAGTTGAATTCCTTCACTTTGACAGTGTACGGAAGTAGCCCCCCTAACATACTAGCTTCCACGAGCGCCGACGTCGCTACCACCCAAAAAGCGTACGCGCGTTGTTCTTGTCTTCACAATTAAAATTCGTTCTGACCTCTACAGCATCCAGTACCTCGTCCTCTTCTTCCGTAGTCTCTTGAACTTTAAAAGCTAACGAAAATGAGTTCCCTGGTCTCAAACTAACCCAGCACGAGCTACAAAAGAAGGCAAGAGACAAAACACCAACTACATAATACCTAGGGAGGCCCACCACTCACTCGGCTGACATGGCAGCAGCAGAGCATCAGCAGCACTCCCCGCTGCCCCCGCCCTCTGACTGCCAAAGAAAAAAAAAAAAAATCATCTCCTGCCGGATTCTCCTCAATTATTTCTTCTCAACATCGCGACACCAAAGCATACTACAGTACATTTTTCCACAAACTTTTTGACGAAACATAATCTCCGACACCAAGAACGAGCACCGACACCCGCCACTGTATGAAAAAAACGGGTTACCAGGGGGGAGGGGGGGGGGGGGGGGGGGCCTCCCCCTTTTGGG